GGGGAGCGGCACACCGCCGGCCGGCTCTCTGGGGGCTGCACGGGTTCCCTTAGATGTTCCCCATAGATGTTCCTGGTGCATGCCGTCTCTCTCCTCCTTTATAGTCCTCCTCCGCCAATCCCAACTCGGCTGCCCACACGCCGAGTACGCTGCTCTCCTCCAATCAGGAGCAAGTCCTACAGTTTATTAGTTGAACTGGAGGCAGCTGTGCGGAAGCTGTTTACTTCTCTCCCAGCGCCATATTGTGGGAGAGCAGATGCATAGAATAAGTCTTAATTCCAGTAACTTAGTCTAGTCCGGATTGCTCCCCACAATCTGTCTCTTCCATTAAACCACAAATAACAAAATAGAGGCAGTATTCCCTATTGCTACACTCTCCGTGACTCTTACAGTATATATAACATAACACGTGTTTAAACAACACTTGCTGTTACAGCATTGAATACTGTAAATCAATAAAATAGAAAAGAACACCTACCAGAGAAATATTATGAGTGTTCAGTTTAATTCTCAAAGAAAATTAAATTAAATATGGATGAAAATCATAGAGGGAATATTTCCACATAGATTTATAGAGGGTATTGGGACACTTAGGAAAATAAGAGTTATATAGCTCTGGTGCTGTACTGCGTAATTTCCCATTATTGTGAATGGTTTTCTATTAGATGTAACATATACTACTAGATTAACATATACTACAACATGGTAGGCGTTGGTGTTATTTTTCTAAGTGTCTTTAAGAGAAGAAAGAAAAGTACTTGGAAGGAAAACAGAACAGAAGGATGGGAGAATGGACACTGAAAAAACTCCTTAGAAATCTGCAAAGTCTGAAGAGAAGGAAAAGAAAAGGGTGCTGGGCACGACGTGTGTCTGCACGTATTCCACAAGAAGAATCAGCTGCCCTGGCAGAGCAGAGAGATGTGTCCAAGAAAGAAGCAAGCAAGCTCAGGGTAGTGCTTCAAGGCAAAGAGTTTTTACACCAGGCTCTGAGCAGTGAGTTGTAAAACCTTAGCTGGGTGTAAGACAGTGCAGGAATGGGCATTAGCATCTTGCCTTTTGGAAGAAGTGGGGCTGGGAAGGCTGAATGCGTCAGGCCACGCCCGCCAGGATGAGCAGACTGTCACTGTGGACAATCTACTTCATTTTCAGCACACATTTTTTTTTTTTTCAAAGAAATACTCTGCATAACCTTGGGCAGATCACCTGTCTCTGCAAGAGATCATCTATAAAAAACATTTCTAATGTTTTATATGTTTACACTGATAGTTAATGATTCTTTGCTATTATGTAGGTTGTACTAGAAATTCTAAGAGGCCAAGGAACAACAAAAAGTGTATGAGAAAGAGGGAAAGAATAAAATAATGGTTATTCCAGGATGTCAGTGTTGTCTGTGAGAACGCTCTGTCCCTCACATCCTTCTGGAATCACCTCTCTGATGCTGTCACTGAGGAGACTGTGCTAAACATACATAACACGGGTAGAAAGATTCAAATCCTCAGTTCTCGGCAGAAACCATCACACATGCCAAATCTACCTCGTGAATACTCAGCTTTTCTATCAGACTATTAACATTTTATCACATTATCAGACTTACAAATGTACAATGTATGTCAGGAATTCAAATAATAAGTAATTGAGGCAAAGAAACAAAACAAGCAGCAGCAAAACATAACTAAGATCACGAAGAAGAAATATTTACAACAGAGTTAGAAGTTTGTTCAAGTGAGATAAAAACTGACAGAAGTCTGCTCTGTAACAACATTCTCCAACATTAGACACTGGAATCCCAAGCAGGAATCAGCGAACAAGGTTTAGGATAATGTAAAAGGCATGCCTTATTAACTCTTGGACATCTCATTTCCTGGTCATAAATCCTATTAACTTGCATTACAAATTACCATAAAACTTGGAGGTAAAAGATAATTTATGCTCAGTGTACAGAAGCTAATGTTTCTGTATTCCTCAGAAGCAAAGAAGCAGAAAATGAGAAAGTGTGTATGTGAATCCTGGACCATGCATATTGCACGGCCCGCATGATAAACACGGCTGGGAGCACCCATCACTGGCAGGAGCAGAGCCTAACTGCTTCATGCCTGAAATACCGCTCCTCTGTTTCATAAAATCTTCTCCTCATAAAAAGAGATGTCTTACTGAGAACACATTTTGGAAGAACACAAGGGATGTTTACTTTTAAGCGAGGCATTATAATACATCCCATTTTTAATTTTTCATATTTTCCAATTGAAAACGGCAGATAGATCATCCCTTTAAAGTAAATACTACCTATGCGGCTTTCCACTAATGACATTTTGACCCACAGTAATGGAAATATACCAAAATACAATATAAAAACCTTCTTTGCAAAAATATAAATCCACTGAAATTTCAATCATCTTTCCATATTCAGATAAACCTGGAACTATACTATTATAGCCCTTGTTTTAAAATAAAACTCATAATTAACAGAAATAAATCACAGAAAGTGCATTAAAAGGAGAATATAGACTAAACTAAACTACTTTAAATGAATTTTCTACTAGATACACAGGTCAGTCCCAAAAGACTAAAATAACCAATCATTGAAAGATGATTACTTATGCATACAACCTAGTTTCATGACAGTCTCTCATGTAAACTCTCCAAAAGAAACACAGAATTTCACAGAAACACCAAGATGATCTGAGGACAGGGAGGCTTAAAAACAAAAGATCTAGGTAAACACATTTTAGTTCCAAGGCCTATGGCTATTCTGACCAATTAACATTAGTCATGCACATGTAACACTAGTTCTCACACCGACTTACAATAATAAAGAACTTATCAAATAGTTTCCTTAAGATGTCTTATTCCTCTTGCTATTATCATTAATTTCAGATCATTCATAATTGTGAACCAAATTCTAAAAGACACTATTTTGAAACCCAAAACTAAATAATTAACATTTATATTGAACCTCACCAATTTTGACATGTTAGCAAACTTTAATGGTAATCTCATTAATTCACTTATGCTATGATAAGAATAATTGTTATTTGCAGATTTTGTTTTATATTAGAAAAATTCAGAAAGTTATTTATTTATTTATTTATTTATTTATTTATTTATTTATCTTTTTTGACAGGCAGAGTGGACAGTGAGAGAGAGAGACAGAGAGAAAGGTCTTCCTTTGCCGTTGATTCACCCTCCAATGGCCATCGCGGCCGGCTGCCACAGCCAGTGCGCTGCGGCCGGCGCACCGCACTGATCCGAAGGCAGGAGCCAGGTACTTATCCATGGGGTGCAGGGCCCAAGCACTTGGGCCATCCTCCACTGCACTCCCTGGCCACAGCAGAGAGCTGGCCTGGAAGAGGGGCAACCGGGACAGAATCCGGCACCCCGACCGGGACTAGAACCCAGTGTGCCGGCGCCACTAGGTGGAGGATTAGCCTAGTGAGCCACGGCCCCGGCCAGAAAGTTGTTTTTAATTTATGGGTAGGATAACAATATGGGTTATACTTGTAAAGTGCATCTAAAATTTATCTTATTTGAAAATTATAGAGAAAAATGCACACACACAAAAGAGTACTTTAAAAAGTTCATGGTTAATGGGATAAAATGTTAATTTTTGTGCCAAAATTTTTTTTAAGTCTATGCAAAGTTTTTCCATAATATACATTTTCCATGAACTTTGAAAAGACTTTGTGCATGTGTGTGTGTGTGCATGTGTTTGTGTGTATATTTATGCCAACTGGCCCCTCAGTTACACACTGCCTATGGATAATTATCAGCTCATGGGCTGTGACTTCTTTTTAAGAGTTTGTCATTTACATCTTAGTCTATTAACCCCATGAAAGAGGAAATGTAGTGGAAAAACCATGGAGTCAAAACCCTTACTGTGTGACTGTATTATCTGTTCTGCTTACATATAACAGGTTTGTTCTGAAGTCAAAGGAGATCCTTCTTAAAAACGTATCAAAATTATATTCTTAATAAATAGCTCTATGTTAATTTTAATTTAAAAATAAATTTAAAATATTTTAAAGTCATCCTTCATTTGTGCACCAGAATGACTGTCTTTAGGCTAGTTGCATGATATTTGAAAATGTCTAATGTTTCTTCTGCTCATTCTAATTGTGATAACAATCCCTAATAAGCATGCACACCCATTCTACAAATCCTCCAAAACTGTTTGCTGATTAAATAAATAGTCAGAGTTTAGAATCTGAATGTTTCTGCTCCCCTTCCAGATTTTTCCAGGAAGCAAAAGGCTAGGCAATGAACAATGGTGAACATGCATTAAACCCCTATCTTAACCAAACAACCTATAATGATGGCATGCTACAGATGGTGGCTAGCAGGTGGGGTGGAAGCAAGTTTACACTGGAAGACAGTAAGAACTGCCCACTGTTTTAAATTTTACCAAATAATTATTTTTAACTGAAGCCCACCAGTCAATCTTCTAAAATGGTAATTTAGTAAGAATTCCATTCTATGCACTACCATGATGGAATGTTTACCATTGGGAAAGAATTCCATCATCAGTAAGAATATACCCAAATCAGCAAAATTAATGGGTAGACAATTTATGAATAGTAAAAACTAAGGATTTGCTTTTAAGTGCTTCATTAAATAAAATCTAGTTTCCAATTATGTTCACAATATATGAGAACTCCATTTGAGATATTTGCCAGTCTTTTGTTTCCTCTGATGAGGTTTTCTAAAATGCTTTCCAAATTCGGCTGCTCAGAATGCAAAAGTGCTTAATTTAATTCCTAGTCAATTTCATTAAAGTTACAAGATTTTTTTTTCTGCCTTCAATAAAAGAAAAATTCTGAGGCTTCTTCTCTACATTTTCACTGTCGTTGACCTGGGGCAGTAGATTAGGGTAGCCACAATAACTAAACATGGTCAGTCTCACTCACAGTTCAAAGACAAGTGAGCCAGTGTTTCTTCCTAACCTATGCAAGTGTTGGAAGTTTTGTGCAAACAAAATACCAACATTATGTGTACTTTTCACTTACCGGTTGGAGAAGACAGATGAGAGATTCCTCTTGGATTATTATCGTTGGCAAAGGAGTGATGTGAGTGGTTTGGAATAGGGTATTCACGGATGCCATAGTTTGGTCAAAACGTCCGGCAAGGCCTCCCAGGGTCACAATCACATCAACCTAAGAAGGCAGGTACAATTGGGAATCACATATTTAAATAATTTTAAATAATTAAATCACATCAAACACCTGAATTGAGCTTTCAAATGCCGTTTTTAACAAGCAATAAAGAAAACAGACATCATTTCATATGTAACACTGAAGAAATTAAGTCGCTTGTTCAGCCTTAGGGCAAACAAACAACATATCTGTAAGACCTAATACTATTTTTGATGATCCTTCTAGAACTTCAAGAAATTAGATTTCAGGCCCTCAGCGACATCTAGAAAATTCATTCTTCACTCTTCTTTGATATATTCCATTTCAGGAAGCCAAGTTTCCACCAACTATATTCTCTTGATCTCACTGCTTGCCTGGGAAGGCAGTGGAGGATGGCCAAAGTGCTTGGGCCCCTGCACCTGCATAGGAGACCAGGAAGAAGCTCCTGGCTTCGGATTGGTGCAGCGCCGGTCGTAGTGGCCATTTGGGAAGTGAACCAATGGAAGGAAGACCTTTCTCTGTCTCTCTCTCTCTGTCTATAACTCTACCTGTCAAATAAAGAAAAAAAAAAAGAAGAAGAAGAAGATCTCACTGCTCCTTCCCAGCCTCCTTTAGCTACCTAGTTAGACCTTTGGAGTGGCTCAGGACATAACTATTGCTGTGGCTTGGATATGGTTTGTCCCCCAAAGGTTTATGTGCTAGGAGCATGGTTATCAATGAGTGGTCTTGAATGGTGCTGGAACCTTAAAGAAGTGGGGCCTTGTAGGGTGTGATGATTTCAGGAAAGGCACCACCCTTGGAAAGGGATAATGCTTTTTCACAGAGTGGATTAGGTTTCAAAGGTCCATGACAACAGGCTGTTATAAAGTGAGTTTGGCTTTCTTGGCTTGCTCTCCGGCTTCCTTTCTTGCCATCTGAGCTCTGTCTTTTCCACGCACATGCATGTGATACCATGTACCGTGTTGTGATGTAGCACAGATCTTTGCCACATGTAGCCACCATGTGCCATAAGAAGTGCATATTACCCTGAATGCATAGGCAAAATCAGGGACATCTGTTAATCTTTAGTGGAAAGAAGAAATTTTAAGGAATCGGACTTAGCTTCCAAGACAGCTTCTGTTTGGGGTATCAAGTTTGGATTTTTATTGGTGTTTTGAAGGCCATATTAGGAAGGCCACTGCAGCCAGTTTGGAAAAGCCTAGAGATTACATATGAGATCAGGAAAACAAAAGATAATTTGCTTTATACTTAGGAGAAAAATAACCCACATAAGTTTTATAGAAAACACAGGGCAAGTTCCCAGTCTCTAGTAGATAGCAGGTGGCATGTTCCTAGCCACATCGTCCTAAATTCCTCTCAGAAGCAAGGCTTGATAAAAGTTTATTCACTATTCAGAATCCGGAATACCTTTTTCAGGTTCTCAATTTTTTATTCCTATATTATATGCCTTCAGGGATCCCATAACCTTTCAGGCTGAAATTTAATCCCCATCTTCCACAATGAGATATCATGATGAATAAGCAGTATCTGTAAATCAGTCATTGAATTTTTCAGGAGAAGAAGTAGCAAGATTACTTCTCATCATGACTCATTTTCCCTACAGGAAGTATTTAGCAAGATTGATTAAAAACATTAGAGGATCTGTGCGAACTGCAGGTGAGGCGGGGGAGGAGCTGGCTTCCAACCACGTCTGCAGTGCTCTACTCCTATCTGTGAGCGGGGCATGATATTCAGAGGCACAGAAGACAAAGGACATGGGTTTTACAAGCCTAGGTTTATGTCTTTAAAACAGTATTGCTCCTGGGAGAGGGTGTTCCACATGTAACAGATTGTTAATAGATTCTAAGCGTTCCTTTTCTGTGGGAATCAAAGCCTTTGCATTTATTTCTAACATCACCTGGTCATGCTTTGTTATAACCTTTGCTATTTCTGTGTCTCTTTCCCTGTGGAGGTGGCTAGGAACTACAGCCACGGCACAGCAGTTGTCTACTATGATGCAGCTTAGCTTTCCCTGAGCACAGAAAATCTCAGGAAAACTTGGATATAAAGAACCAGAGGCAAGAAAGCTCCTTATTAGGTCCACTTACCATCATCTAATTTCTAAACCCAGGGCTCAGTCCTCAGACTTATTACTTGATCCATCAGGAAAATCAGTCACTCACTATTCTTCTCTTCTTTGACACATGCCCCTCCAGAAAGCTGGATTTCCAGCAATTATAGTCTCTTTATCTCACAGCTCCTTCCCAGTCTCTTTAGCTACCTAGTGAAACGTTTGGAGTGGCTCAGGACTTCTGGGTATGGTTTGTGTCCCAAAGGTTCATGTGCTAGTGGCATGGTTGTCAAAGTAATTTTAGGTCTTAAATGGTGCTGGAACCTTAAAGAAGTGGGGCCTCGTAGGGCGTGATGATGTCACGAAGGGCACCACCCTTGGGAAGGGATAGTGCTCTTCTCACAGAGTGGGTTAGGTTTCAAAGGTCCATGACAACAGGCTGTTATAAAGTGAGTTTGGCTTTCTTGACTTGCTCTCCGGCTTCCGTTCTTGCCATCTGAGCTCTGTCTTTTCCACGCACATGCATGTGATGCCATGTACCGTGTTGTGATGTAGCACAGATCTTTGCCAGATGTGGCCGCCTAAGTGAGGACTCAGCCTCCAAAACCACAAGGCAAATAAAACACTTTATTTATAAAGTGCCCAGACTGAGGCATTCTTTTCTTTTTTTAAAGGAAACCTTACTCTTATTTTTAAAAGATTAATGTATAAAATTTATTTATTTATTTGAAAGGCAGAGTTAAAGAGAGAGAGAGACAGAGACAGAGAGAGACATCTTTCTTCCTCTGGTTCACTCCCAAAATGGCCTCAAGGGCCATAACTGAGTGAATCTGAAGCCAGGAGCCAGAAGTTTCTTCTAGGTCTCCCATGTGGGAGCATTAGCAGGGAGCTGGATTGGAAATAGAGCAGCTAGGACTCAAACTGGCACCCATACGGGATGCTGGTACTGCAGGAGGTGGCTTTACCAGCTATGCCACAGTGCTGGCCATGAGGCATGTTTTTAGAGCAACACAAAATGTACCAAGATAGTCTTTGATTCTCTTCTATTATGTTTTCTTCCCTGATGGTCTCACTCAGCCTTGTAGCTTTACATGCTTGCTATCGACGTCAACACCGACTAAATGTGTATTTGTAGTCCAGACTGTTCTCTGGAACTCCAAGCTCATATAAACAGCCTGCATTTGGAAAAGCAGCAGAGATCTCCAGTTAACCTATCTTCCCCCCAAAATGTTCCCTCATTCTCTTCCACAAAGGAGTAGTTTTAACCTTAGTCCCAGAACACATTAATCTTTAACAATCCTGTTCTCTTTTACTTTTTTTAAGATTTATTTTATTTATTTGAAAGACAGTTACAGAGAGGGAGAAACAGAGAAAGACAGGTCTTCCATCTGCTGGTCCACTCCCCAAATGACCACAACAACTGGTGCTGGGCCGATCCAATGCCAGGAGCCAGGAGCTTCTTTCAGGCCTCCCACACAGGTGCAAGGGCTCAAGGGCTTGAGCCATCTTCTACTGTTTTCTCAGGCCATCGCAGAGAGCTGGATTGGAAGTGGAGCAGCTGGGACTCGAACTGGTACCATATGGGATACTGGCACTGCAGGCTGGGGCTTTAACTCACTGTGTCACAGCATCGGCCCCTTCTTTTACATTTATTCATTGTCTCAGGAAATTCTACTGGCTATACCTTCAGTATGTACCCTAATTGTCTCCACTTCTCAATACCGAAATCTCATCACAATGAATCAAGAAACAAAAACCTGGGGCCAGTGCTGTGGTATGGTATGTTAAGCCTTTGTTTGTGGCACTGACATCGTTTGAGGTCGTCGGTTTAAGTTTTGGCTGCTCTGCTTCCAATCCAGCTACCCACTGGGAAAGCAGCAGCAGATGGCTCAAGTACTTTTGACCCTGTACCCATAAGGGAGACTTAGATGAAGCTCCTGGCTTCCATCTGACCCAGACCCCTGGCCATTGTGGCCATCTGGGGAGCGAACCACCAGACGGAAGATGTCTTTTTCTCTTTCTCTCTCTTTAACTCTAATTTTCAAATTAATAAATATTTAAAATAAAAGAAATAAAGAAAGCAAAACCTGACAGAGGGTAACCATCTTTATATCTCACCTGAATTACTACAATAGCATCCAATAGGTCTTTCTGCTTCTGTTCCTACAAATATTTCCTCTCAATCAATTCTTAATACAGATCACAAATAATCTTGTTAACATGTAAATCACATTATGATGTTCTTGTGCTCAAAATCTTTCAATCCCTTTAAAAATTATTTATTTGTTGGAGCTGGCACTGTGACGTAATGGGTAAAGCCACTGCCTGTGGAGCCAGCACCTCATTTGGGCGACAGCTTGAGTCCTACGTGTTCCATTTCTGATTCAGCTCCCTGCTAATGTACCTGGGAAAGCAGCAAAAGATGGCCCAAGTACTTGGGCCCTGCACCAAAGTGGGAGACCTGGAAGAAGGTCCCGGTTTCAGATGGCCCAGGTTCTGTTGCAGGCATTCACAAGGTCTCTCTCTCTGTAACTATGCCTTTCACATAAATAAAGCTATAAAAATTACTTGTTTGAAAGGCAGAGAGAGAGAGAAGAGTTCTCGACCACTGGGTCACTCCTCAAATGTCCCCAGTGCCTTGGGTAGAAGATGTGATTCATGAATAGTTAACTCCATCCACATGGGCAGTAGGAATACAATTATTGGAGCCATCACCATTTCCTCAGGGTGTGTACTAACGGGAGCCTGGAGTCCAGAGCTAGAGCTGGAGCTGGGTATTGAATCCAGGTACTTTGATGTGGGATGCAGGTCTCTTATCTGCTAGGCAAAATTCCCATACCTCCAACGTTTCATATTAGGACCTACAGATCTTCACAGGATTTGATGCCCAGTTGTCTCTCTGATCTCCTCTCAGATTTCTTCTCCTCTGCCCCTCTGCTCCAGTGACACATCCTTCAACTTTTTTGCTTCT